AAGACGACATCCTATCTACAAGATATCACCACCCCTTGAACCATTATCTCGGGAAGACGATATTCTACCTACAAGATATCAACAACCCGTGAACCATTGTCTCGGAAACAAGATTTCTTTCAGATGCACAAAATACCATTAACCCTTAAAGTGTGATCTTTTGAAGATGAAATCTCTGGGATCTCTTTGTGAAGATCTCCCCTACAGGACATTGTACATGCATAACGCCATCTTGAATACTTCAAACATTGCTAAAATATGCTGCAAAATCTCAACACCCCAGGCACCCTCTGAGCTCTATCGCATCATTGGTAGATCTAAACCGCTGTTGTTAACCGTTTGTTAATGTCAGTAATCATTGTTTCATACATTCTATGTAACACAAGGCTGCATGATTTAGCCGATTAAAAGTTACCGTCATCGAGACGATACCGAGCTTAGTGTTATCTTATCGGTTATAACATACCGGTTAATCGCGTCATTGGCAACAATAATATATATTACTTTTGGTTTTCCGGAGCAGAGTTAATGTTAAAATATTTGATACAGAAAGATTGTTGAATAAAATTATCAAAAATATGTAAATACACTCTCACTCATCCTCCTCGCACAGTCGCATTGCATTCGAATACGCAGTTTCTCGCTGTCATGTGCGGTTCGCCTGTAACGTGTGCGCCACCTATACCCCTGACTTATTCCTAAAATTGAAGAAGTCGGAATGCATTAAAAGTTATACATTCATAAGTTATTTTAACCTATCACTTATGAACCTCGTTCTTTTTAAATTAAAGGATATATTAACTATTACAAATGAAACCTGTTCGTCTTTTCATTAAAATAGAAATTTGTTGAAGTACATTTATTAGATTGAATTTCGGCAATCTATCTCCTCCCCAAATTAGGATTCAGTCAGAAATTTTGTTTTGATTTATATTTGTAAAATTATTTTTGGTACATTATATCTCAAAGTCAATTGTGCGAGGATGCCAGTTGATCATTATTCCAGCGCTTTGAAAACACTTTTTAAGAATGGGACGCCACTGGCCCCAGAAATAATCCATTGGAATAGCACCCCAAGGCCAAAGGCATTGATTAATCCTCATTTATACATTTAAGTTTCAGTGTCAGTTATATAACTGTTGTTCCCTCTCTCTTTCCAAATAATTGATCCTCACCATACGGCATTTAGAGTTTTAATACAATCATAAGCCAAATACAAATTAAAAATGTACTTATTACTTTCCAAGGAGGTCCTTCCGTAACTAAACAAAGCGTTGCGAACTTCAACTTCTGAGAAAGCCCCTGAAAGCCCTAACAGGAATTTCTATTTTGGCCCAACTGGCACACCTGGCCGCATACCACGGCCTTTCAGACTTTTAACCAATAAGCAGACCGAATTTCTGAAACCACGCCTAAGTGCAGGCCACGTGTAGTCCACGTGCGGTTAGCATGCACCACTCCACACTCAAAATGGCTTCGTTGAAGTCGTCAGCGGACATGGCACGCAATGCATCAAATCGTCAAACGACTTTTGTGATTAAAAATGGCGGCAAAATAGCCCACCGAAAACTTACTGTTTTCGACGACCACTAGGAGACTGAGCAAATCAAGGGCTTACAGGAATGGATAAGTAATGTAAAATGTCCGCAATAGGCGACATTATTTCCCTACTCTCGTGAAAATGCACAAACACAACGACAAGTTTTGTTGGTTAATGTCAAGAGATTTGACTTGCCAATCTTACGTTTGTACACTGAAGAAAAATGATGATTAAATGCAGCAAACGATACTTTAACAGCCTTCATTATGGAAATGGAAACTAAAAGGTTCTGTAGGAGAGAAAAGGTATATAAAAACCTTGTTCAGTATGAGACAAATGGTGCAGGAAAACATTCACTCACCTCGAGCAGCCAAGTTTTGTATAATTCCGGACTTACCAACGACGATCTTGAAACTGCATGAGTAGGCTTTCCTCCAAATCGCCATTCAGATCATTCGACAAAATCAGGTCACCAAAGGTTTAAGTAAAAAGTTTAAAGTCTTGAAGACTTTCCAATTCAATTAAAGTTTAAACTTAAGAAAGAGTCCAAGTCCACACAGTTCTGTTGGCTACAAAACGTTCAACGGTTCAGTTCATAGATTCCAAGTTCTCTGTCGACAAAATGTCCACAAAAATGCTGACTCCCAGTCTGTTTCATGCACTGGATAAAAATAGTCGATAAACATGAAGGCTAGGCCCATCCTGCTTTTCCTGTCCAAAATCAACGTTCCAAGCACACTTAACTTGGGTGTCTAGGTGCCGACGATTCCATGCATGAGCAAAATTTGCACAATTTGTTGTTGTAGTCGAGTTCAGGAGGTCTGAAGGTGATATTGTAGGCAAGGGTCACAGATTTGCCGAATTAAATGCTATGACATCCTTGCCAACGTTTACACTAATGAGAAGGCGCGCAAAATTTTGAGAGCGACAGCTAATTGTCTGTTCTTTGTAACATTCAGCCGCGGAATGACATGGCGGTGAAAAATCCCCCACCTTTACAAAACGGTTGCGCACTGTACTGCACTGGTAGCAAGTGCTCAATGTGTATTTCTCCGCTATTAAGACGTAAGTCCATTCCCTGTCTTAATTTTAACAGTGGAAAGCATTTACCAACAAATTAAGGTTGTTACTTAAGAACAAGATATCATTTAATAGTTTTCTTTCTGCGAACTTGGCAAATGACTTATTTGTTGAACTACAACGAAGGCCCTACTTTGTAGCATGTCGGCCAAACAGTGTGTGACGTAGTCTCGTATAAAAATAAGGGAGATCTCTGATTGGCCAGAAGTAAGTTGTGTATGTGACTCGATTTCTTAAGCCTGGCCGATTTGGTAATAAGGAGTGATGGAAACGAACTGCAAATGTGTAAACAAGTTGAATCCGGTTCGTAAGTGTGACGTCACTTCAGTTTAAACCACGCCCACTGCATACGGGCAGCGCTCCGTCTGCACATAGAAAAGTTATACAGGCATAAATCGCTGCTGGAACCATGGAACCGGAAGTTAACGCGCAATTTCAGAGCAAATTGGTATCGTGGCGAGTCTGCCTTTGTGGCGAAGTCACCTACGAACCGGATACCAACACTGCAAAGGACGGATCCAAAGCCAAATTTTCGGGGAGGGGAAACCTTTTGGGGGGGGGCGCAATAACAATGAATTTTATGGGTTTTCTGAGATTAGGGGCGAGCTACATTTTGATGCTTTTTACACGCTTTCTAATGGAAAAGAAATGACACAGACCAAAAATTTGCTTTTCTTTTTCAATTTAAAAAAAAGGAGGGGTCCTTTTGGGGGCATAGCCACCTTTGCGCCCCCCAGGTTGTGCCAGAATTTGGAAATACACTTCACTAGTTCTTATCAAGAAAACTGTAATAATTCATACATAAATATCCATCTTTTTCCAGAAGAAAAAAAAGAAAGAAAAGAAGGAGTAGAGAAAAATATTATTCTTTAAACACGATAATAAGGTGAATGAGACACAGCTTTGCCCCACCCTTAGGCTGATGAGAAGTATTAAAAAAACAAGGGACGTCTGACTAGCGTACAGATCATGCATGCGTCCGTGACTGTAGTGCTGAAAGAAATAGGGAACAAGACTGATGATGACGGGTTTCATTTTCGCCGCCGCTGATCGAGGTACATGTAATGGTAGGACGATTGCAGCCTCAAAAAGGTGCTTTGAATTTCCTTGGTGCAATGCCGGGAATAGTGTATTTTGATGCTTCGTGCGTGCAGGGTGCACGCATGATATGATCATCATCATGTCGCACCATGGTCGCGCTAGTGTAGTGATACGTAGAATCAGCCAGTAGGCTTAGTACCAACATGGAGGAAGGAAAACATTAAACTGTACAATGCAATGCATTCGTTGATGTACATTTACGTACACGTATGACCATGGAGGAATAAAAAACAGTATGGACGTACATGTAGCAGGTCAAGAGTGTTGCTCACTACTGGACTACACCTCTGGATATTTTGTGTATTCAATTATTGGCCATTATCACGGGCTAATCCCTAGACTGACATGCCTAGTCTGTAGTATTGTCAAAATGCAGTGTAAACAAAGCCTAATTCTGACATGTGTGCAGATGCATGACATACACCTTGTCACATTTTGTATTTGAATAACCAAGATAGCTTGTCTGACGTGACCAAAAGACCCCCTCCTATGCAATGATGCATTCTTGACGAAGTCGGTCAAAATCTGTCAAATGATCCGTACATGTATGTGTCTGTGCACAGTCTGGTAAATCAAGTGAAAGGAATTTGTGACGGTCTGTGACTGTCACAGCAAAAAATTGGCTTAATTTACATGTACGTGTGCGATAGATATATTACCATAATGCAGTTGGGAAACAACACCTGCTGTTACATTCACTGGTCACTGGTGACTGGTCAGGTGGGATATGGACAAGGATGATGTCCAGGGTTAAAGAGAATGGTCGTTTTTGTCAAGAGTGTTATTCTTAGCTGTTTTGTTGCAGGTGTCTTTACCTGAAAGTACGTCTGCAATGAAAGCATTGGCATGGATGACAGAGATCTCATGCGTGGTCGCTTCCGTTGGCTCTTGGTCTGGATGTCAGACATGCTTGTTGGAGAAGATGTTCACAAGGCCAAGATGTTGCTCCGTGATCAGCTGGGCCTTGCTGACTACGACTCAATCCAAAACGATGGACTGAAACTACTGGAGGCTCTAGAGAGGGGAAATTTGATCCATGAGGGAGACACAGATGTTCTTCGGATGTGTCTGACAAGATTGGAACGGTATGACATCCTAGAAACCTTGGATGAGTATGAGCGAGAGCGACAAGTGGTCTCCAGGAAGCTACTGCTGAAGGCATCCTCGGTCGATGGACCCTACTTTGGCCATGCTGACATCCTAGACGAGATCGTGAGCATCCTGGATGACGAAACCCATGACCACATCCATTTGTTCTGCATCAGTGGTATGTCGGGAACTGGGAAGACGAGGCTGGCCAAAGAGGCTTGCTTCCGTATGCGTCAGTTCCACAAAATGATCTTTGTGGATCTGCGGGAATTAGAGACGATTGAAGCCATCTTTTTTGCCATCATGCATGCATTTGGAATGGAGTGTCGAGATTATGAACCCCAGGCCATGTACAACTGTTTGAGATCCTACGATGCTGTACAACATGGTAAGTAACATAATTTGCAAAGGCTTGTACCATTAGTTTAAAAGTTGTGGGTCATTCCATGCCATATTACAGGACCTTGAGTTTAGCCAAGAGCATGTATAGATGTTTGGATATGTATGTATGGATAAATCCTTATAAAGTTTGTGTACCGGTATATTATTTGACCCAAGAAAATGAAGCTTTAGCCTTCTTATTTTAGAATGATTCATATCTCCAAGGAAAATTTTTGTAGGCAACTTGACATGGCATAAAATTGCTTGAATATAGGGCTACAAATTAATACATAGTACCTCATATTGAGTGCTTTATGGATGAGTCACTTCATTGTGAAGTGTATAATTGAAGTAAAGATTTATGTGTTTTACATTTCAGGTGGGGCTGTGTTGGTCCTTGACAGCACTGACCATCCCCTTGACCCAGGGTCGGCTGCCTGTCCTAATCCAACCTACGAAGCCTTTGTGGAGATGCTGGAAAACATCACCAACTTACCCAACAAGAGGCTAAAGCTGTTAATTACTTCCCGCTATGGCATGGAAAGCATCGGGATCAAGAGGCAATCCTTTGACTACTGGAAACTGGAGGGAGATAATGAATTGGCCATGGAGAGTGCCGTAGAGATGATGAAGTACCATGCTGGCAAAGCTACACTGGGTGAGATTTCATGTACTATCAATTGCAACATTCTATGAACGCTGTTTGACCTCCTCCTCTATGAATTTCTTCAAGCCCACAATTTTTCCTTTTTGGGAATGATTGTGAGGTTTTTACTTTTCCGAAAAAAAAATGAAGCTAAATCCCCTCCAGACATTCTCAGAGGGTTGATTTCTGTTTTCCGATTTGGTACATGTAGGTCTGTATGTCTGTCACCAAACAATGAGTTTTAACTAATCAGTTTTATTTTCCCATTTCCTGAAACTGTGTCACATGCAAACAAAAAATCCTTCTGCTCTTGGCTTTTTAAACAGAATTCCTCAAGAGTATTCCTGCTTATAACCATTGAATGTGGTCCGTAATGAATCTACTGTATGTGGTTTCAGTGGGAAAAAAGACCAGATAACTACGTCACAACCTTGGCAGTGAATTTCAGAATAAAGTAAAAACAAAGGAAAGATACACTTAAGAATTATTTTTTTTTCTATTTGTCAGATTTTTGTTTCCAATTTTTGCTGTGTCATAGATGACAAGGAAGCAGAAGAGTTGGCTAATTTATGTGGCAAAATACCCCTGGCTCTCAAGGTGGTTGCTAGTCGCCTCCAAGATCAGACGGTCCAACCCAAGGATCTGATCCGTTACTTGTCATCAGGATCGGGGGAGCAAGCCTCTCGCATCACCCGAGCTCTGAGCCATCTTGGGTTGGCACTGAGTGACCAGATTGGCCCCTGTTTGAAGACGTCAATTGAGTCTTTGCCAGAAGTCCATCGACGCAACCTGGTCAAGCTAGCTGTCATCCCAGGCTCCTTCACCGTAGAGGTAGCCCGAGTGATTCTGGGCTACCCGCGCAAGAATCAGATGGAACTACAGCTGGACCTGCAGGCCTTGAAGTATCGCAGCCTCCTGGAGAGCAAGCAAGACGATGGTGAAAGATCTAAGAAAGAGGGCAACGTCCGTTACTCCTTGCATCTACTCCTCAGGTCCTTTGTGGAGGAGATGGCTCATGAATCAGAGGGTGATTTGCAGCAAATCTTCAAAGCTGCTGAAGTGCAATTCGTTGACTACTTTGGTAAACGGATGAAGAAGATTGCTAAGATGCTCCAAGTCAAGGCGGTGGTCGCCCTTGCTCGTCTCCAGGATGATGCCGCCAACTATCTTAAGGTATAGAGATACAACCTTACACAGTATTCCATACCAGCCTCTAGATGTGCTTTAATCACTGCTATAAATGTTACTTACCTCAACGGGTGACTTCAGAAGTTTCATTTTCATCTGTCATAGGCTCTGAACATCATCAAGGTGTCCAAAGAGTATCACAACCCAGACACAATCTTCTGGATGTACATTGTTGTTGAGATGCTTCTCTTCACTGATGGCCGTATCAAGTTCTACCGGGAGCGTGCTGAGTCGGCAAAGAAATGTGGTCAAATGCAAGTGTATGCAGAAAGTAAATGCTATGAGGTAGGATCATTTCCCTGCTCCGTTATGATATAGATGTTTATATTTAAACAGCATCATTAAGACATGTTTCTTTAACAGAACAAAATCTGATATTTATGTTGCACTCAAATTGTAAGTTTTTTCTGTTTATATGTTTTGAGTGCTTACCTTCTCGCTGGTGGAGTCAGTGACTGAACTCTGCACAACAAGGCAAAATACATCTGGAAGTCATCCGAAGCCTTCACCTGGAGAATTATTGTTAATCACATCTGTTCACTTCTAAACCAACTGTAGGTGTACCAGTTGAGCCAACTTGGGTACAAGGCAGATGATCTCCTTCCCATGCTCAAAGAAGCTGAGGATGAACTCACGAAACTTGACAAGGAGAAGCAGCCAATCAGCGTTCAGCTTAGCCTGGCCACCTGCTATCACTTCCAAGGCGATGTCCACCTGAACAACCGTAACTGGAAGGAGGCCTTACCACAGATCCAGAAGGCGGTAGACATCCGTAAGCGGTACCTGGGGGACCACTTGCTGACAGCGAGGGCCTACAACTCCCTAGGATCAGCATTTCAGGACAAAGCATTGATTGACCCTAGCTTGGCTCCAGCGTTTATTAAGAGCGAGAAGGAGAAGGCAATGGATTGCTACAGGAAAGCTCTGGACATCTGCAAGAAAACGACCGGGCCTGACAGGCTGCACCTTGAGTCCCCAACGTTCCTCATGAACTTAGGTAAGGGAACAAACTCCATGTTTAAGCTATTGTCATCATACAACTTTAATAATCAATAGATGACATTTGTCATAATTGTTAATTTGGTTTTTAGAAAGGGATTGCAAACTTACTACAACAAACTCTAATGGCTAAAAGGTGCCAAACAATGCATTATTGGAACTCAGATTAATAAACCTACATGAAGTTATGGAATAGCCAGCATGACATGCTTAGACTAGTATTTGCAATTCATGGACTTTATTGCATAAATACTACAAAGTTTGTGCTTTCTGATATCACATGAAAAACAAGGAAAAACGTCTCAAATTTGGGGGGGGGATGTAAATCCAGGACCCTCTGTTATAGTCAGTATTGTTTGTGTGGGTATCATGTGCAGGGACTTGCTTGCATGACATGGAGCAGTATGACAAAGCTGTGGAATACTACCAACAAGCCTTGAAGGAGGAGAGACTGCTGGGAATGGAAGGAACAGACAAGACCTGTACTACCCTCAAGAACATTGCTATGAGCTACTACGAGATGGAAAGGTAAACCTTGGGATAGGTTTGAAACATGGAAATCTAATTGTATTTCAGATAAGACTTGAAGCTATGCATGGTGGAATTGCTAAGTAGGTTAGGCTTACGGTTGCATGATGTAGAAGAAAATATCTCTTTTATGAGTGTGTGGTTATGAGAAGAACCGATGGTTAACAGTGGTGACTATGACCTGAGTAGGGAAGTAACTTTGATGACACGTTCTGTCCCCAACCCGAACAGGTACGATGATGCAATTCCCATCGCTAAGAAGGCCATGGAGGGTCGTAAGCGAATCCTCGGGACCCACCCTGCCACAGCACGGAGCATCTACTTTGTGGGATCACTTAATCTGACCAACCGTAACTACAAGGAAGCCCGCAAGTACCTAGACGAGGCCTTGAGGATGGAGGAAGAGTTGTGGAGGAAAGGGATGGATAAAAGTATCGATTGGACCAGGTTGAAGAACAAGATTGAGTTCTTGATGACAACCCTTGGCAAAGATGCAGCATTGTCTCTCTATAAGAAACGCTTTCGGGTCAGACGATTGCTTCTTTGAAATAAAAATGAAGTTTGATTTCAGCAGCTATTGCATAATGATAGTTTGGTCAAAATTATGTTGTGATAAAAGGAAATGCCCTGTTTTTGATGTGTAGACTGATTCAATTCTCTAGCCTGTTTACTCTGAGAAGGGGGTCAGAAGTGAATTGCTTTTTGCTCAGAATTGGTTAACATCAAGCAAATGAAAAGTGTTCATAAATATATACTCGTTGAAAATTAAAATTTCATTGGAAGTTATGGGAAGAAATTGCTGCCATCATTGATTATTATATGACAAATGATGGAACTGAATTCTGTTTAATACTTTGATGTGTGGAAGTGTCTTGCTCAAAAGCAAGCCAGTGTATGCACAGTAAACTCCCACTAAGTTGGCACTCTCGAACTCCAGAAATTATGACGACTTACGTGAATGCTGACTTGGAAATGAAATTTTCTGTGGAAATGCATTAGAGACGATCGGGACTTTGGTCAAAAGACCGACTTAGACGATATGACGAGTTATGCGATGCTGACTTAGTGGGAGTTTACTGTATTTGGTGCCCATGAGTTTGTGTAGTCATCTGTTTGCAGGATTTTTGTGTTTGGTTAATGTAGGAGGCAGAGAAGAAATCCAATCAGCACAAGCCAAAGCTAGACGCCCCTGAAAATAGCGAGACAGAGTCCAGCACCTCATCATGTAAGAAATTTACATGTACTTTGAATTTATCCCCTAGTTCTAAGTATTAAATCTCAGTATGGGTTACAGTGCACACAGCGGAGCAGCTGTGAAGGGAGAAATCTATGCGTGCAAGAGCTGAAGATGAAGTTTGAAATATTTCACTGTTTAGTACACTAGGAAATATTTTTGAAGTTTGGCAGAACAATTGTCTCACAGGTGGTTTTCCTATTGAACTTTGCTCTGTTTGTTTCACCTGTTCAGCCTCTGAATCCATTCCGAAAAGGAAGCGAAGGGCTAACTCCAGCACAGATTCCCACAGCTCTGGTTCTCCTGTTGACAGGACTGATGGCTTGCCTATGCAAGGGAGTAAGTATATTGACAGGTGGAGTAACTTTATTTTCACAGATGTATCATCTCTTTGTAACAAGACCTAAGCTCTATAAATGATGCACAGAATCTAGTTCCTCTGCTATTTTTCTTCTATTTTTGTTTTCTGTAAGAGCCCCTTAATTGAATGGTTGGCAAGTTTGATAATTTTTTGGACTGTGGATTCCTCTTGCAGCCATTTTGACTTATTGTAATTAAATTATGTATCACTGCCATAATCCTCTCATCTCAACAAATCTTGTCCAGTTAAGTGCTTTGCAATTAGTAATTATGTGATTCGGGAAATGACCGGCCCAGATATTTATCTCCAATCTTTGAACTACATTTTGTCACTGTTCATCTGTCTGTAGCTGGTGCAAAAGCAACCCAGCCAGAATTCTCCAAGAAGCGAGAGAAAAAAATGAGAGCATCTCGAGTTGATGATGAGGAAACAGACTCCACCATCACCAGTGTGTCAGGAGTGTCCATCAAGATGGAAATGGGTGACATACAGGTGCATTTCCCGCCACCTGCTCCTCCTGGTAAGACTTTCTGAGTTGGAAATCATCAGTTTATTACCTCCCCCCCCAAAATGGACCAAGTACAAAAACGGTAGAAAATTGTTTTCTTTTTTCAAGGCTTTTTCTCCACCTCATGTACCTCACAACAATCATTTTTTTTCTTTCTCATTTTTCTCGATTCCCTCCTTTTTACAGAGGAACCTGTCAATGCCGAGTGGCCTCGCTGCATCATCTGTTAAGGTGAGAGTTCAGAGGAACAAAGGTCAACACCTGTCATTTCTGAAAAGGACCTACAAATCCAGACTCATTCCATTCTAATAATCGCAGAATAGGACGAAGTTTTGTTCTTATGTTTAGATTGTAAATTTAGTGTCCAAGATTTGTTTGTAACTTATTGAACCTGACTTGTATTCGGTTTTTTTCACAGTACTATCAATTTGACAGATTTAGTTTTCAAGAGTTACATTGGTCGTGTTGGTACAAGGTATCTGAAAAACGTGTTACACAATCCACACAGTGTATAGCTTTGTCAACGTTGAACAAAGTGTAAAAAATGCGCTCACAAAAATTATACAGTTTATTCCTGGAGGTATGTTGGTCATTCTTATGAGAACTAATTTGTTTAAATATATCCCATTATGCACCTTTGCAGTCCAGACTGAGAATAGCCTGGGCATTATGGGATATAAAATCAAAACAATGTGTAGTACGATGGTCAACTGTCGGATATATTGTGGTATTTAAGACACAAGACATAACAATCTTGAATTATCCAAAGAGAATGTATAATGTGAGGTTGGACTGGAATTTCTTTTTACTCCATCTTTCCCCCGTTCTTTTGCTCACATCATCCACTATCCCAAGTTTCCCTCACTTTTATTTTGGAAAGAGTTCCATACACCAACATCACTTCGCACCCTTTGCACAAACCCTATGTGACTGGTCTGAAAAATTCTAAGTATTTCCAAGTGCAAATGTTTCACTACTTAATTCCTGCTAAATCAGTCTTTCTAGGCTGTTTTAATACCTTCCATTGGCTGATTTACTGCTACAGGAAAAGTTAGTGATGTCCGTATGTAGAACTCTTACCGTTTGACCCTCCAAGGTGGGAAATCAAATGTCACATCCTCCAAATGTAAACAGTACCTGGTGAAAAAGTGATGTTTTTTAATAATGCTAACTTTCCAGTATCATGTTGACCAAATGGTTGAATGTCTTATGGATTACTGTAAGAAAGTAGATAAACTTGAACAAGAGGAAGCCTGCAAAATATTTTAATCAAGAACTTTATTTTGAAATAGTGAGATTGAAGAGAAAGAGATATTGTAGCATTCCATTTTGTAGTTGGTTGTGTATATGTATTCAGAGGATGCTAGCATTGAAGATCCAGACATTGAAACAGGTATGCTTAAGCGTCAGTTAACAGCCGCCGAATTCCGTTACCCCAGACACCCTCAGCAATTCAACAATGTGGATCTGCCTTGAATGAGAAGCATTACACAACAATCATTAAATTGTAAAACTCGAAATAAGGGTAGGTGTTAACTCAAGTTTCCTGTTTCCATAAACTAATGTATGCTGTTGTTACTCAGAATCTCAGATTTTGTAATTCAGCTTTGGATGCAAGAGAGAAAGTTTTGCTTTTTGAATCATACTGCTTGAGAAGCTACTGAGTCATTTTAATGACTAAGGAGTAATCATCATTTTTGTGCAGTTTAATTGCAGTAGACACATGAACCTTGCTTGTTAACTTTGCGTTGTTGTACAACCTGTAATCAGCGGTTTGATTTGAGTGATTTTGGTTTTTATCAACCGAGGTGTAATGTGCTCTAAATATTTCCTTTTTGAAGCCTTCTTAGAAGTAGGTAAGACAGTTGAAGTAGCTATTTAAAGAGTAATTACTATTGATAGAACACTTCTCTGAATTTTGAGTGGAATTAAGTTGTGGCACTCTTGCTACTTATCTTTCTGGTCAAATATGTTTAAAAATCCAGCCGCATTGTATGAAACATAGTTTGTTTTTCACCACTGTGACGTTTGCAGCTTATTTTAGGAATTTTGGCCTGAAATAGTTACTTTCTTGCCGTCTTTTGCAGCTTATGTAATCTTACTGGATAATTTTTTTGAATTGCAATTGATGTCAGAGTGTTTTTTGTTTAAATTTGTGTTTTGCCAAGTTACCAGTTCTTTGTTTTAGTGTCACCAAGTTACTCAACCATAAAATGGTTAAATGTTTAAAATAGCTCATCCATGTCATGTTTGCTTAAGTAACTTAACAACTACTCAGTCCATTCCAGCGATATAGTTTATACAAATCTTTATTGTAAAACTAGTGTTTATTCCAGTAGAATAAGATATATACTCGGTAAGTATCATGCAAGAATGTGATTGAGACTTGTCTCAGTGCAGGAGTTTTCTACACTGTTTAATCGGATGGCATGCACATTGCATGTTCATGTTGTCTTTCCTTTGCTGAAATAAAGTCAAGCGTGCTGCTCTGCAAGTTTGAGGAATTGCACATTTGAATTTATGTCCATGTTGAGGGTGATGGAAAATTGTCAAGGAGAGATGAACGACATCAGCAAAGTCTGAGGAAACCAGACTCATTGGTACTGTTAAATCTTCTTCGCAACATAATTTACTAGAAGAGTCAATGGGTAGAAAGTTCTCACTTCAGTGAGTAGGCTACACCAGCCCTCAGCACAAATCCTTCAAAGGCGGCAAAGTCTGCACTTTGTCTAGCTGTCCCGAATCCTAACTGCTTGTACGCTCGTTTCATCTTGGCTGAGGATGTAGGGCAAGTTCTTGTAGTGACAAAGTCTTAAATACTCATCTGCTAAATCCTATGATGCAGTTGTCATGGCACTGGTACAGATGCAACAGGCAGGTAGTAACCATCCTTACCATAGGAACCACGTTGTGATATGTGAATGGAACTGATCAGGCAGTCACCAAAGAAGTACTCTCCAAAATTCTGAAACACAAAATGACCAACATGGATTAGACTGGACAAGAGGTTTGTTTTGCATAACCAGCATGCTTTTAAGGCGGAAGGAAGAACCTGCAGTCTTGAATATGACAGTTATTGTTCGCGATACTTAGGATAAACAAACATTTGTGAAATAACTACCCACTCTACCAAGGATAGCTAGGACAATGTTTCCTTATTTTTAAAAGCATTTGGAAACTTTATGTGTCTCTGAAAGACATAAAGCTTTGCTTGGTGGAGATAGACGAAAGAGAGGGCTTGCAGTAACACCATGGGGACAGATCTCTTAAGGAAGAGGTATGGTTCTGGTAAGAATTGGTGAGTGTGTACACCATGTCTTGACCAGTGTGCTCTGGTCATCCTCAGGACTGAATTATACTTAGCCAGCTCATATTTTCATCAAATGAATTGTCTACACACTATTGAAAGCCCATCGTGCACTGCCCTGAACTGACAGTTTCTGCACAAGTTTGGTGCATCTCTACGAAGAGACAAGATATCACAATGATCTCACCTTTAGTATCCTCTTGGCATTAAACGCCTCCCTAACTTTCTCAGCTCTGCCGTCTCTCCTGCCTTTCGTTCTTTTCGAACCATCTTCTGCATCCGGTTCCCTCCTGAAGAGCGTGTTGATGAGAGTGATGTGGATTTTGACCCTGTCATAGTCCTGCTGCATCAGACCGGCTGAGACAAAGCGGTTCATCAGGCTGTCACAGATGACTTGTAGTCTGTGTTTGTTACAAACAAGGTCATATTCTTGAGAGCTGATTAATAACAGCTGACTCTTATATAGCGCACATATCCATCAGCAATAATGCTCAAGGTACTGTATTATCATTATCCCTGCACATTGGGCTCACAACAACTGAACATTCCTGAAACAATCTCAGCTCTCTGGGGAGTATACTAACTGATGCTGCCCTATCAAGCGCACACAGCTAACACAACCAAATCTGCCCTCACAGGTACCCATTTACTCCTGGGTGGAGAGAGGCACATGAGAGTAAAGTGACTTGTCCAAGGTTGCAACAACTTTGCCACCAGCTGGATTCGAACCCCCGACCTCATCTCTAAATAATGCCAAAGTCTTTTACTGTGCAACGATATTTAGTTGGGGGTTAGTTGGGATAGGGGAAGGGAGCTTAACCCCTGATCAAGGATCATCCCCCCAAACAAGAACCGCTGTCGACTGGTACCCATCACTCTCATTTCTCAGGTTGTGTAGAAATACATGCAGTAGTGTCTGATCGAACAAAGTGAGCAAAAAGAAAATCCAATGGAGTTAGGCTTACTTGTTGGATCCATCTTTCATGATTGCCTTGCCATAGAGAACATCAACTTTGCCTGGGTCATCATTCATGTATTCTAATCCTTCCAACTTCACTAACAGAAAGGAATCTTTCAGTAGTGGTCTGAGATGAAAGAAGAAACATCACTTGAAATTTAAAGCAATTGTTCAACTTAATGAAATGACCATTTATGTCTGAGGAATTGAGAACCATACCAAAGAAAAATGGAAAAATTCATACTGGATGATTTCCTCTTTGCATTTTTCCAGTAGTTCTTGAGCCTGGGCCTAGCAAACAAACAAGGAAAGAATTGATATCGATTGAGGAACAAAACAAGAATAAACCAAACACAGGCAGGTTTCAGGGTAAAAATGTTTGTCTGGTAACTAGAAGCAAACTTGGTTTGCTAATTTCTCTTGGTGAGATGGACTGCACTATCTGCCATTTCCATACTACGGCTGTTTCTGAATCTGTGCCTAGGGCTAGGCCTTTGTCTTTGCCCCATTAAAAATATGCAGAGACGTGAAGACAATAGCTGTAGCCATAGCCCTGGAAGCCCATTTCAGACACAAGTGGAAGGTATGACGAGCTGCTCACCACTTCCTTCTTGGACATGAGAACCATTGTGCCCACAGTAAGATGCAGCTTGGCTGGTTTCTGGAACAAGCTTTCATCTAGGCTCTCATCCTAAGCAAAACCAAAACGGGTGTTTTAATATTAAACTCTTAAATCTTGGAATTAGGAAAATTTACCATTTGTCTAGAAGCTGTAAGAAAAAAGTAATTACAGGTCAAGTTGATGACTTTATTACTAAACATTTCAATGTCTGTAAAAAAAATGAAGCTACATAGGCACTAAAGTCAGAGTGTGAAAATTGGGAACAGGAAGTGCTCGGTGATTATGAATTAGCTTGTGCTTTTTATCAGGTTTTATTTTCCTCTTTATCAAGTGTCAAGAATTATCTGCTTTTGTTTGGAAAAACACAAAAAATGCCTAATCATAATTTCACTCTGTGGTGGTACTCGTAAAATCTCCCAATTGCCTGAATGCTTACACCCCTGCTGTTTCTCAGGACATCTTCTTTGAATTCTTGGAATCGATCCTGTAGAGGTTGACTGTTAAACGGTAATGTCATCAAGTGAGTGAATGCCGTCTTTTGTCTTGCTGATGAGACAATCACATCAATTCTCGTCTTTGCTGAGATGATACCTGGTCGTTGTTCTCCATGAATGACTGAGAGATAGAAATGACCAAGTTTCCGGAATAAATTCATCTAGTATGGTGTTATTTACGTGAAGTTGTAAAATATAATTTCTTCAGCATTTATTTATGGAACTCACTCCCGGATCATCTAAGACAAGAACATGACATCAAGCAATTTCAGCATCATCTCAAAACATTCCTNGTCACATTCAGTCCCTCTTTCTGAATCTATTTGTATGCTTAGGGTTACAAGAACTTTGTGAACTTGGCAATAATCTTTCATTCCATTATTTCGGGGAAGACTAGTGCAAGAAGGTGCGTATGTTTTGCTCCCCTCTTGTTTTCAGTAGAAACTCACAAGTCATAATGTTCAATTTTTACGGGCGACTTCATTCTTTTGGGGGAACTAGGTAAATGCTCAACAAGAAAGTACTGTTTTCCTAATTTGTTCCTATATTTGCAGACAACTGTTATGGAAAAGCTTTCCCATGTTGAAATAAGGTGTTGCAAGATCACTGCCAACAATTAACAGAAGTGTTACATGTACCAATCTCCCATGTTGAAATAAAGTGTTGCAAGATCACTGCCAACAATTAACAGAAGTGTTACATGTACCAATCTCGTCCTCCTCCTTCTGAGCCTTGTTAGGGATGAGGATTCGGGTCTTTGTCTCTTGTTCAATCCTCTTTCTTGTCTCTCCTTGCCTCCCAATTATGAGCCCAAAGAAGCCATTGGGTACTTCCATCGTTAAGCTGTAGCCTTTGTCTGTTTTTCTGATGTCAAGGTCACAGCATTCCTCCATCCGGTGCTCTATACAAAAAGGTTTCAAGTAATCACACACAGTAGATGTATTGCAAAGAGTACCACTGACATTGTTATCAGGATTGATCATTATCAGTCCTTGCATCGTCATCATCAAAATCAATATCAAATTCAATGAAATCATCAATGCATCATAACTGTCATTTATCATCCCACACGTTTCTAACATCACTAGTTTTTCACGTACCATCATACTCATCACCGTACCCCTCCATGTCATCATCTTCTGGCTCCGCACACTCCGCTGGCTTTTGTACTGGATTCTGTCGATAGCATCTTCCATCTATACGGATGATGGGTGGCTTCAAAATATCCATGTTGGTCTACAGTCTTGCAGTTGTACATGGAAAGAGAACACAAAGGACTAACTTCTGCAATTTGGAAAACTCCCATCTATTTTCTCAGCCTGATGATTCAACTATACCGCATCCTTAACCCTTATCCTTCAACTATTGGGGGATTGTGACTTTTTAATAATGTTATGTTACATATCTCTAGAACTATAGGGTTCATCTAATAGTGTAATGTTACATACCTTTAGAACTACATGTATGTGTATGCGACGGACTCCATGTAAGGGTTAACAGAAATTATTTTGTTCTAGGCTTACATCCTTTTCCAACAAACTGGAACAATCATTACAAACGTATGCCAAAATCAAGAACTATCACTCACATCTGAACTGAAAAAGGAGCCAGTGCCCCCACTTTGCAAAGGCAGAAAGAATTCCATACACGGACACCACTTATTTTTCCATACAATCACCTGTTATCCATCTGAAAGCAACAATGACCTGAAGTCAAAATTTAGCAGGGAAAATGGAGGTATACTTCACGTTGAAAACACAACTTTTTGGACCAGTATACAGGGTCTGTGTAACCCCAGAATTGTGGGATTTGACATCCGCAACTCAGTGAGAGAGGCCGGTGGATGTCAAACCCCACCGTTCTGGGTAGGTTTCTTGCACTGGGTGTCAAGCTGCAGGGGCGGTTTCCCCCCCCTAAAAAAAAAACAAATAAAAAGAGAAGAAAAAGAGGGCGGGTGGGGGAGAAAAAAAAGAGGGGACCCAGTCCTGATAAATGTGACAAAGGCATAAAAATCAATTCTGCTTATGGCAGTGAGCCTAAAATTGTTACATGTTACACCTCCCTTTTGCAGTTTGGGAAAATCTTGGATCCGCCCCTGAGCTGTGCCAATATATGGCACTGTAAATAACTCTCTTTCTGCAAAGGAATTGTACGTGCATGACGTGGGGTATACATCTCCATTCAGCCCTTGGTTAAGAAAAAAGTTCCAAGTATCAGTCAGTTCTTCCCCCTCTCAATTTCTCAATTATTAGGCTAATCTGTTGCATCCTGACTCCACTTTTATCGTCATATATCATCTTAATAAATTTAATTTAAAAATTAAAATTTAAATCACGACTTGCAGCTCATTCATTCCGCTTTGACCAGTCATGTTCATTTTCAGCCTGTAGAGTGACTGGTGCCCTTAAAAAGGCGATTACTTAGGCCCAAGGGTGATTTGTTCTTACAAATATTTGAAAACATATTTGAAAATGTTTCTTGTATAATCTGATAATACGCATGCATCCGTGAGTTAATGAGCAGATACATAAAAAATATTTAGTAGAAAACTGTAACTTGATTTTTGTCTGGTTCACTTCCCCCATTGGGTTAAAATGCATTGCTTGTTTGTCATTCCATGGAGGGGATCAGGTCAACTCGGACCCAAA